GAAATGGCCCGCTATATAAATGTGATTAAATAAAGAAAAAAAAATGAAATTTGTACATTAAAACTTTCAAGACCTAACTAGAGGACAGGGGATATACAAGGAAATCAAGACTGGAAATGAAAGAGAATGTATGGAGATTCTCAGTTATCCAGTCAAGAACTGAAGAAGCGTCTTGGATGAGAGGTGAAACGTCTTCAAGGAAAAACCAAGACAGTCCAGTTGCCTTTTGAAAAAGCATCTTTGGGACAAATGAAAGAAAACTAAATGAAAAAGAAGAAGGCATTTCAAGGGAAATCAGATTCAGAACTGAACAACAGCACAGAACGTAGGAAGTCAACCTAGGAAGCAATGTAAGGATAAAAATGCAGTTATGCTAAAGATTTGTAAAAGAAAGAATCTAGCAAAGAATTATACTTCTGAGGGCTGAGTTAAGACTGAGCTGAGAACAAATGGGCAGCTATTTGCTGGTAGCCTTCAATTCATAACCAATCATTCAGTGTCTGAAGTTACAACGGCGCTGCGTGAAGAATCCTCAAAGTTGCAGCCATTGCAATGTCCCCATGATCATGTGACCATGATTCAGGGGCACAATAACCAGCTCGCCATTATAATAGTCGCAGTGCCCCACAGTCATGTGACCAGTATTTGTGATCTTCACTACTGGCTTCTTTTATTATTTATTATTATTATTTATTGAATTTATATACCGCCCTATCTCCCTTACGGGACTCAGGGCGGTGAACAGGCGATAATAAAAACCACGATAAATATACACAAGTTTCTGTTCTAAAATCAAATTAAATAACAGGCCTGCTCTAAAAGTACCCCATACAAAACCCCCAAGTCAATGGGGAAACAGAAGGAGGTCACAGATGCCAATCACAAGACGTCACACCTGGCAAATGTCTTTAATTCATTTAACGACAACAACTGGAACTGCCTGGAGCTACCAGCATGAAAGTGCATCGCTTAGGGACGGAGTTCCCAATCGTTAATGGAGGACTACCAATTTTATTTGAAAAACTTCAAAAGTATTCCTTCAGCCCCAAAAGGTCTAAAAATGGTGCTTTTATCTATATAAAACTGGAAAGGCATTATCTATAATTAGGAAACACAGCAGTCGGTTTAAATCCCCCACAGATGTAGTGCTACTTGGGTGAGAATTTCAAGAGCAGCGATGACATGACTAAAAAAGAAATGCGCTTTCAAAAATGTACAATCTCTTCACCCCTGGGATTTGGAGGAAGGCTCCTTTGATGCTCTTAACGCGCTGCCAGAATTTTAGTCCTGTACATTTAGGAGCATCCTTTGCTCCTAAAATTCAGCACCCGCAGCAAAATGAAGAAGGAACACTATTAAACACTGAAGACGCTGAATCGGAAGGCTGTGTGAACCAGCGCACTATCTCCACATAAGGGTAACAAGCAGCTGCGTAAAAACTGAGGCATGACAAAGTTTAAAGATCCTGGCAGGTTTGAGATGGGCAAAAATAAGAAAGGAGGGAAAAAGAGAAGTTGAAACGAGGCCTTGCAATACGCCAGGGGTAGGCAACCCAAAACACTCAAAGAGCCACTTGGACCCGTTTCCCACCGAAAACAAAACACTGGGAGCCGCAAAACCCTTTTGATATCTAAAATGAAGATAACACTGCATGTATCCTTTTTACCACTATCTTTTTTACTTACACACACACACACACACACA